CTTGGCCCAAAACGACGTCGTTTTGTACCTTTTCGCGTGTCTGCTGTTAATTCTTTAAAAAAAAAATTCATGTTTCGAATGTACAAAATTGTATAATAGAATACACAGAATTTTATAACTGAATACACATAATCTTTTTTGAAAGGATAATACACATAATCTAACATAATATACAAAAACTCTTAATTACAGAATACACATAAACTCTTAACTCTTTAAAAAAAAAATCCATGTTTTGAATGTACAGAATTATATAATAGAATGCACAAAATTTTATATCTGAAAACGCATAATTTTATACCTGAAAACACAGAATTTTATAACTGAATATTCCTATGCTTTGAATGTACAAAATTACATAATAAAATGCACATAATTTTATACTTGAAATTAACAAAACGACATCGTTTTGAGTGTCGCGGGGCGCATATTGCTATGTGCGCCTGGTGCACAGTATAACAATTGGAGTTAACGTTGATAGGCTTCTAATGAGAGTATAAAATATATGTTGGTGTAATTATATGCATTTGTAACTTATACATTTTGATTTCTTTCCTATGTAATAATATAATAACATATTTTACAAAGTTACCATCTTCTTTTATTTTTTTATTTTTTTATTTTTTTTTTCATTTATGTACAAAGTTTAATTTGGTAATGAAATATTCCTTTAACTTATTATTATTGTTAACTTCACACTTCGAAAAATATTTTCTAACATTTAAAGAATAATAATAATAATAATAATAATAATAATAATAATAATAATAATAATAATAATAATAATAATAATAATAATAATGCTTTATTATTATTATTATTATTATTATTATTATTATTATTATTATTATTATTATTATTATTATTATTATTATTATTATTATTATTATTATTATTATTATAGCAATTAAATTAATATACAAAAAGAGAAACTCATTATATTTTATTATTTTTTTCTTTTTTCTATTCTTTTTGCAACTCTTTTCTTCTTTGCGGTAAGAATTAAATATAATAATATTTATTTTTTTTTATTTGGTTTACTCAATCATTAAAAAATGTGAAAACTATTATTCTTGAATCGTCATCCTAAAAGAATGTGAATGTCATACTATTATTATTCTAAGAATACAATGTCTTCTCTTTATTTAAATAAAACTTTATTTATTGTAGCACAAATTATAATTTTCTATTCCAACACAATATTGCTACAATTGAAATATGCATTTTAGTACAAGTTGATCTACTATGTATGGGAAATTTTTTTCTCTACTTTAAGAATTTAAATGCAAAAACTATCATTATATAATCAATCTTATAGGGGGAAATATAATATTTTAAAATATCAATGAGAATTTACAAGAAGAAAAGTTCATATATAACGATAATTGAAGTCTCAATTATACACACAAGAAAAATCTATGAATTCGTTGGCTATAATTTCATTACATAATTCTAATTACTCTTTGACAACATCAATAACCCAATTTTAATCATGTCACTTTTAACAAAAAAAAAAAAGTTAAGCTTTACTAACTCATTAATGGTATTCAATATCACATTAATAAACTTAAGTTAATTTAGGGTGAGTTTCTTGTGAGATAATCTCACTGATCCTTTTCCGTGAGATAGGTAAGGTCAAAATGAAAATATCATACTTATGTTGAAAAATGTAAAACTAATCACGATTCATGAATAAATTGTTAGTTACTTATTAATGGGGTCGGGCTATGGGACCCCAAGCCCATTTTATTTGGAAAGTCTTGGCCCAAGAATAGTGAAGGAGAGATCTTGTTGGGCTTAAAGGAGGGAAGAAGGTAAGGGAGTAAAATATAAAAGGGGTGGAGCGAGTTGGGTTCAAACCCGTGAACCATCATTGTCGTCCATGGGAATTGCTATGAAAAATGCGCGCTCTTACATGCCGTTTGGTTGGAAGGAAGGAATTAGGGTGGAAAAGAATTGTAATTTGGTGGGAAAAGAATAAGGTAGGAATTCAAATTACAATGTTTGATATGCAGAATAAGATTACAGGGAATTAAAATGGAATAAGTGATACAATGATTGAAATGCCCTCATGTACTAATAATAATAACAATATTAATAATAATGCCTTCAGGGACAAAAATGTCTTTCCAATCTCCAATTCAACATTGAATTACAATTCCTAGGGGGGAGTTCAGAATTGTAATTCAGCATTTGGAGGGAATTGCAATTCGGTGGAATTGCAATTCCCTCCAACTAAACGGCGTAATTGTGGTCTCTGCGGAATTGCAATTCAACTACACTTAAACTACCTCCAACCAAACAACCCGTTAGATTCTTGATATGAGCTTATTTGTGCATGTTTTTCTTCTTAATTTGAATCTTCTTCTGGGCTTAAGTTCATTAAATTATCACTTTCAATGCATATTTCCTTGCTTTCTAATGTAGATGTGGTTTAATGCTTGATTTAAGTGTTTTTATGATTTTTGTTAGTGTTTTGAAATCATTGTAGATCAAATGCAAAGGCAAGAGAAATTCTATGACAAGTTTGGAGCCAAGATAGAGTGAAGAAATCTGATCCTGAAGGCTCTACGCGTCGAAAATTTCCAGTAGTTGTGTTCTGAGCAAGGTTTCACGCTCGACTCGTCGAGAATTTCCAGTAGCATTCTGTTGGGTGAAGATCAAGGCTCGACGCGTCGAGAATCCGTGCTGTGTGTGATTTTAGCTCTGCAACATTTCCCATTCTGCCCTATTTGGTTTCCACTATAAAAGGCCCATCTTCCTCCAATCCTATGGGCTAAGCTGCATTTTTGGAGACAAAAAAGAGTGAGAGCTACACTTGGAGAAGAAGATATATAATCACATCAAGAGCCACAAGTAACCTTGGAAAAATGAGGAAAAACTAGGAATATTCGGGATATTATTGCAATGAATGCTATTCTAGCCATGAGTGGCTAAAGCATCTTAGGAATTTTTGAGTGAAAGTTTTTACGAACCTATTGTGCCTAGTTCTTCATGTCTTAATGATATATTTATATTTGGGTTTTATGACTTGTGTTGCAATTGTGATTTATTTTGTTGATGCTAGTAATTAAAGACCTAAATTAGTTGTTTCATTACTATCCTTATGTCTTGATGAGAGTTAGGGCATATTTTAGAGCACCCACAATTTCACTTAATTATTGCTCATTGGGAGATGACATTTTAGTTAAGGATTTATCTTGAATGCTTGTTCTTGAGTTGTTAGAGTGTTTATCTCATGGGAATGAATATTCACTCACATTATTTTAAGTTGGAATTATGGGAGTAATTCATTCCCTTGTATGCATTTTAACACTCGTTTAAACCCAAATTAAATATTTCACATTAGATTGGCGCTAGGTGATTAAGCACTTGAAAACTCCAGAAATCCCGCTTGTACTCTATTGTTTTCATCAACTTGCTCACCTTGTTTCCTTTTAATAGGTACTCACATTTAACACGCCTGAACAATATATTTTAAAGCGTTAATCAACATTGGGTCAATAACGATTGAGCAAACACCGATAATAATCTTACTAATATGATATAACTGGCAAATTATACCGTGCATCAGCGCGCACAATGCATTGTATATCTTGGCCCAAAACAACGTCGTTTTGTACCTTTTCGCGTGTCTGCTGTTAATTCTTTAAAAAAAAAATTCATGTTTCGAATGTACAAAATTGTATAATAGAATACACAGAATTTTATACCTCAATACACATAATCTTTTTTGAAAGGATAATACACATAATCTAACATAATATACAAAAACTCTTAATTACAGAATACACATAAACTCTTAACTCTTTAAAAAAAAATCCATGTTTTGAATGTACAGAATTATATAATAGAATGCACAAAATTTTATATCTGAAAACGCATAATTTTATACCTGAAAACACAGAATTTTATAACTGAATATTCCTATGCTTTGAATGTACAAAATTACGTAATAAAATGCACAAAATTTTATACCTGAAATTAACAAAACGACATCGTTTTGAGTGTCGCGGGGCGCATATTGCTATGTGCGCCTGGTGCACAGTATAACGATTGGAGTTAACATTGATAGGCTTCTAATGAGAATATAAAATATATGTTGGTGTAATTATATGCATTTGTAACTTATACATTTTGATTTCTTTCCTATGTAATAATATAATAACATGTTTTACAAAGTTACATTTTGATTTTAAGTTGGAATTATGGGAGTAATTCCTTCCCTTGTATGCATTTTAACACTTGTTTAAACCCAAATTAAATATTTCACTTTAGAATTGCACTAGGTGATTAAGCACTTGAAAACTCCAGAAATCCCGCTTTTACTCTATTGTTTTCATCAACTTGCTCACCTTGTTTCCTTTTAATTAGTTCTACTTTTACTATCGATCAATCACTTATTTTGAAAGGATTAGTTTCTCGTGAAAAAATTAATAGCTAGTGCTTGATACGCCCCGCTTCTCTGTGGATCGATAACCCAATACTCCAGGTATTTGTTTGTTTAAATATGCTATAACAAATTCTACCCTTTCCCTTTAAGCAATCAAATCCAAGATAAGCCAAAATAGCCAAGTCACAAAGCGAATATTCAACAAATTTGCATGAACGCCTTAAATTAGCTGATAAGGTGAGGGTTGGTCCTATTCACAAGGATCGGTTCTCCATCTGAGGTTCTCCATCTGAGGAATACGAGAAGTCTGACTAGCACTTTAGTCATTGAAGGGGGTGTTACCATCACCGTAATAAACCAAGGTCCCCTAGTGGCTGGACCTAACATCAAAGAGTTAATTCCAGCAATAGTCCTCTGACTATTGCGATTTTCCAAATTTAGTCCTTGTCTTTTAATTTAGACGAAATAAACCCTTGACTATCAAAATTGTTCCACCATTGGTCCCTTCTGTTAACTAAAAGTTAAATAAACGTTAAGTTAATGGGTAAAATGGTCCTTTCCCCTTCTTATCTTTCCTGTTCGACAAATCCGTAGGAATCACCGCGCGTCATTTGAACTCTCCGATTTCCATACACGTATGCTCCATTACACCTTCAACATTACCACACAACCGTGCCGGAATCGCCGTGCTTGGTAAGAAATCGGCGAAGGCCCGCAAAGAACGGGGAAGAAATCGACGAGGCCCGCAAAGAACGGGGTTGTTGGCAAATGAGGATTCGGGGAAACCAGAGCGAGACGCGGGTATTTTCCCAACAAGTCTGTTCCCGGAGACGTTGAAGTCTTGGAGATTCGGGAGGTTGACGCTGGAAATCGAACCGGAGAACCCATTTTCCTCGAGGCGCAGGGTGAGCAGATGAGTCAAATGGCTCGCACTAGCCGGAATCTCACCGGAGAAATTATTATGCGACAGATCAAGCCTGTACAGCCTGAACAACGACGTCAGAGACGCCGGAAACTCGCCCGAGAGCTCATTGTATGAAAGAAACAACAGCTTCAGTGCAGTGAGCTTAGAAAGGTCGGGGAGAGGACCCGTGAACCGGTTCCACTTAAGGCTGAGAACCCAGAGCTGGGTCAGCGAAAAAAGCTGTTGAAACGAACCATGGAGGTCGAAACCTTCAAGAACGAGGCGAGAAACCCGGTTGTTTTGGAAAGAAACACCAGTCCACCCACACGGGTCGGAGCTGGAGTTCCAATCCCACAGCTTATTAGAAGTATCCGCAGCGGATTTGAAGGACAGCAACGTCTCAGCGTCTGGGTTTGAAGCATCGCCGAGGAAGGAGAAATGGAAGAGAATGAGAAGGAAGAGAGAGCGGGATAAATGCAGTAGTGTTCTCAGCTTCGCCATGGTAGAGAGAGAATATGAAAGTGGAGAAGAAATGGCGTATGGAGGGAGGGAGGGAGCAGGTTGAAGGGTGAAGAAAGAGGGTTAAGAGTGTAATAAATGCAAAAGCAATGGGACAAAAGCAACCCCGTTCTTGGTGACGACGGCGGCGGCTCAGCCGTCCCCCACGCATATTTTGACGAAGAATTAGCGGAGATTGCCAATACGATGAAGTAGGTCCGAAGTTTCGCCGATTTCTTACCAAGCACGGCGATTCTGGCACGGTTGTGTGGTAATGGTGAAGGTGTAATGGAGCATACGTGTATGGAAATCGCGACAGAAAGCATTTCAAATCTTGTCTCCACTACTTTTGCAAAATTTTGGGGGAGAATAATACTACGTCACCACCGGAGAGTTCGACGGCAATGAAGCCCACGACGGTGATTCCTACAGATTTGTCGAATGGGAAGGAGAAGAAAGGAAAATGACCTTATTACCCCTCAACTTAACGTCTATTTAACTTTTAGTTAACAGAAGGACCAATGGTGGAACAATTTTAATAGTCAAGGGTTTATTTCGTCCAAATTAAAAGACGAGGACTAAATTTGGAAAATCACAATAGTCGGAACACTATTGCTGGAATTAACTCTAACATCAAACTTAGCCTGAGATATAGCTAGGGGTAAAATGAGAGGATCCAAAAGAGATGGGCTAGAACCTGCCCTCGAAGAAGCCATAGACGAAAGTACTGATCACACCTTGATCATCAGGGGCTCTCAAGTCGTTAATACACACAACGAAGCTTGGGTAGCCCTTCTAGAGGGATGGGCTGACAAGATGAATGCTAAAATTGAGGAGCTGGTTCAATGGTAAGAGCAAGGTAACCTCCCTGTGGTCCCAAAAATAATAATGATCACCCTGCTTTTTACGTAGAGGATCATGAATGAACCTCTTCCCGTTAATTTCAAGCCACTGAGTATCAAGTGATTCAAAGGAGCAGGGGATTACCTACTAGGCTGCTATGATGCTAATGGGTTCCACGAAGGCAGTTATGTGTAAGGCTTTCTTCTCAACCTTAGGTGGATTAACATAACAATGGTTTTTTAATCGAACCAGGGGGGGGGGGGGTTCTATCGACTCTTTCTACGACCTGGCAGTGAGATTTACCATGCATTTTTGCGAGACAGGAAAACCAAAAAGCATTTGACATACATAGCCTTAGTAAAGAAAAAGGTAGGCAGGACCCTTACCAATTTCCTTAATCATTGGCAGGCCAAAGAGGCGAAGGTAGATGGGTTGGATGCCAAGTTCGATTACCATGTCCATAGAGGCATTAAGGGTAGGAGACCTCTACAAAAACCTCATGTGCAAGACCAAGAACACCTATGTCGCTTTGATAACCACAGCTAATATATATGCAAAGGCCAAGGAAGAAAACTGAGCAAAAGATCGGAAGGAGGAAGGGTCCTCCAAGAATGGCCACCCAAGCGAGCAAGAAAGCGACAAATCAACTAGTAGAGAGGTATCTTGAACGAAGGGGGAGGGTCGCCTTTGAGGCAGACCCCTCATCCCAAGTGGGCCTCCGAGATTACACTCATTAATGCCCATGACACCGATATTATTGATGCCATTAACCACACAACAAGCGAGGTACTAGCCTACGTCATGGAGGTACAAAAATTCTACATTTCTGATGGTTTTATCGGGACCGGGTCCACCATATAGGAAATATAGCACGGAATAAAACAACTATTATTACCAGTGGGACGCGAGGCCCACATCAACGCGCATAAGCCAAATGTCGCAGGCCCAGAAACAACAGTACAGGAAAGTTATATAGTGAAAAAATAAATAAACGGATAGACAGAAACCTGCATTAAATCCATAATACAAGAATCGATCCTTTGACCAATTAGGAGAGAGAGAAGACTCAGACCGCCAAGTTACTGGGTCATTTGTGTTTCTTGTCATGTCCTAAACTGACCGTAGACCCCCCCACCCCCCCTCTTTTTTTTTTATACCCTCTCAGGACTTTCGCATACCACCCACGTGTGCGACATCTACATGCCTCCAGCTCCCACCATACACGTGTCCTCCCCTCTCTGTACGTACCCCCAACTGCTCGAACGGGACCGATTTTGTCGCGCACTCTCCCGGGATCCCTGTTCCTATACGCACCGCCCTCCGTCAGCTGCTGTTCCATGTGCAGCATGCATGGACTAGCTGCCATTCCCCCCACAGGCATGCATGTACGTAGTCTCCAACAGCGTGCATGCAACCGCCACCCGTACGCGCAGCCGCCACATTATAAGCAGGCAACCGCCATCCGTGCGCGCAGCCGCCACCTTGTACGCATGCAACCGTCATCCGTACGCGCAGCCACCACCTTGTACGCATGCAACTGCCACCTGTGCGCATAGCCGCCACCTTGTACCCATAGCCGCCACCTTGTACGCATGCAACCGTCATCCGTACGCGCAACCACCACCTTCTACGCATACAACCCCACCCATGCGCACAGCCGCTACCTTGTACACGTGCAACCACCTCGCATACACGCGTGCATGCATGTTTGCGAGGTCCAAGCGTACGTATAGGTATGCATGTGAGCCCATGCGTGTGAGCCCCCCTCCTCATCCCTTTGGGCTCACACTCTCTAATCTACACGGGCCAGACCCATTACATTATTCTCCATCATAAGTCCCCCACTTCTATTAATCATTGGTTAATGATTAAAAGAAGTAAGACCCAGTCTACTAAGCAAGGCCCAAATTCCATGATAAAACCCTGGAATTAAATGATCTTAAATATCCAGTTCCTCCCCCCTTCCCGGCCAATTAAGACTCATATTCCCTCTCCGACGTAATAGCTCCCTTCTTCTTCGCTACCACTCCCCTGAAAACCTCGTATCCTCTACCGCCGATGCATCCCCACCACGTCAACCACGCACCCGAGATCACCCTCACATTATCGCCCGCTTCCTTTGCTATACCCTCGCTAACTGGCGCCAACAGCATGCATCATGCCGTCTCTTCTTCCTCTACCCATGCTCAATGTCTCACCACAGGTGCAACTGCGACGACTAACACTCCCCCGATTGCTCCCTCCACGCCCGGTGCCTTCACGACCACGGGGACCCACGACGTTTACCCTACTGCCCGCGACCGCGACGATCGCGTCGCCCTTGTCCACTTGTCGACTTCTACCCCCACAACACCCACTTTCGGGGAGTTCTCTCGGTCGCTTTTCGCTGCATCATCGCATGGCACAACCAGGTCAGTCCGCTGGGATGCGACCGCGACCACGGCCCGCCACCGCCACCGTGCCTGTTGCCCCTCACAATCTGCTCAATGCTGCTGGAAGCTGCCGAAATCCCTTCGCCGTCTCCGCTCCCCGTTCTTGCGAGGCAACGCTATTAGATCACTCTGGATGCGCACCCATGCCCGCAATTGCCAATCATGTCACACTTACTGGTGCTACGTTGAACGCCATTACCGCTGGCCAAAGGTTGGTACCCTTTGTTGTTAATCTTGTAGATGATGGGTCCCCTCCGGCCTCCCCAAGTTATCGTATTTTGGAACCTGCCGTTCCCCGCGGGATCCAATCTCGTTTATCCAGTGTTGAGTTGATGTCTCTAGATGAATGGTTGGGTGAGGGGATAAAAATGATTATCCTGGGTGCCACGGATACAATGACTGAGCCTCTGGGCCTTCTCTTGGTGGTAGTCCATTTCCATTCTATCGAAACAGGTCTCCGATTTCCTTTACACCCTCTAGTAGCCGAATTCCCTTCCATAATGCTATTCCATGCCAGCTAACCCCTAATGTGCACTGACTTCTTACTTGCTTTCTTATGAGATGTCGCGAGGTTAGCGTACCGCCCTCTTTGTCTCTATTCCTGCAGATGTACCGTGTGTACCGCACCAATGGCCAAACCGCCTTGCTAGATGGAGAAGATTCACTGGTCAGTGCACTGCCAGATCATACTTTGGATGGTGGTCGGTCTTCCCCGATGATGGATGAGGACATGGATCTACCTACTCCGGTCACTACTTGCGTAGCTTCTGTGGGGATACTGGAGCTGTCGTCGTCTCGCCCCCCTTCGCGACATGGAGAGTACGAGCCACATGGTCTCTTGGCCACACGGGGGTTTGGCAATGTCGCTGCTCGGGCTCTGTGACCATACAAGCCCAGCTACATCGAATTCATTTGGCGAAGTGTGCATGACATGGTGACTCCCTCTAAACGGTTTTGGATGGATAGCAACTCCATGGATGCACCCAGCTCCCACCTGGTGGGAGATAGCATGCATGTAATTTTTTTTCTTTTTTTTTTTTTTGAAACCTCTGCCGCGGGGACTCTCCATCCGTACCCGGCTTTATTGCCCGTGTCGCCTAGTCTTGACCCCTTTTTTTTAGGTGACTATGCAGGCTATTGGGTTGCAGTAGCGGTTTATATGCGGCCACCAGGGAGTATACCGAGTCTGAATGGGCATGGGAGATGTTGGTAGCCGATTTAGCACGATCGGAACCATAATCACACGCAATTGCGCGTGGCGCATGATACATTGGTGGCTGAACATGATCAGTTGGAAAAAGAATTCCAGGCTTTGCAAGAGCGACTCATACAACTGGAAACCCTTCACGCTACTACCATGCAGGCAGCCATTTGAGATTAGCGAGGTTTTGACAATTTTGTGCGAGTGGGGGATGAACATGCTATGTCACGTATGCCTACTCTGCTGCAGGCTTGGTTGGCGTCCCCTCATATGTCAGGTCGGCCGATGATGGACGCCATGGCTAACTGGCGGGGGGCTCAAGATCCTCGTAAGTTTACATGTCCTCATTCCGTGCAGATCTTTCAATACTGGGTGATTGCGCAGGGTTGTCGGGTTTCTATGGCGCCTCTCGCAGAGGTTTAGTTGCGAGAGACGTTGGAGGGTCGGAGCCGGATAGTTCGCGAAGGTGAGGCTTCGTTTTACATGGGACAGTGGCACTCAACCGATGATCCCTACTACGTCATCCC